GTCTGGAAAAATGTTAATTCATCATTGTAGGCTAGGCGAGATGTAGTGTAGCCTTGTAGGAAAGATGGTGCATGTGATAGTTTAACTGAGAATATGAAAGTGCTGTGGTTGTGTTATAAATGGAATGGACATAGGTTTGGGTTAATTTTTAAATCCAGAGTTAAGTTTGCAATTGAAGTTACCAAATATTTTGTTTATAAATATTTATCATTTGAACTATATTTAAAAATCCAGAAGACAACTAGGACAACAGACTAAAACGGCTATACAACTGAATCCAATGAGATGCTGACACGACAACACATCGGTAGCCTAGAAATAACTGCACTATACGCACCTACAAGACTGAAGAAAGGCAAAAACAAATCTAACTCCAGCAAGTGGAGAATGATAACTCATAATTGTACTATACGCACCTACAAGACTGAAGAAAGGCAAAACAAATCTAACTCCAGCAAGTGGAGAATGATAACTCCCATGACTGGAGAATACTACCTCCAAAATAGAGACTAAAACATAACTAAAACAACACACATAATAACAGACACCAAACACCCCACACAAACACAAAACAACAAAACCCAAAACAAATTAGAACCTACAATAAAACCCTCCCCAGCCGCCGATAGAGTTCATTGAATGAAAAAATTAGATCGGAATGAAAAGTAAATTGGGGGCAAGCAACTATCTAATTAACTAGGATGCTTCAAAACAAATCAACTCCACATATTCATCTACTAAATTTGTATATAATAAAAATCTATATCCAATTTATGTGGGTGTACAGAATAATTGAAACTAAAATCAAAATTAAAATAAAATCTCCTATTTATTATCTTGCTATTGAATTGATAAATAAATACATATGGTCTGCATTGTAGCTTCATTATATAACACACATAATTTTTCCGAAGACATTTTGTTTTTCAGCGGTAAACAATTCTAAGGAAAGCAAGTAGACATGTCGTTCTCGCAATGAATGTGGAGCTAGCCAAGAGTTAAAAAGCTTTAACTGCATCTCACTTTTAACAAAATTATTACCGAACAACTATTTTTAAATTTTGCGTTGCAATTAATTAATTAACTCAATCACATGATAGACGAAAAAAAATAAATACATAAATAAAAATGATGTCCATTAAAGCTATTCCCACCTTCTTATATTAAACCGACTTAATCATTCCACATATTTTTTTAATTATACATAATTTTATCAGAAAATATTATATTTTAAAAAATATATAATAAAAAATATTATATGTGATAATATAATTATTTATTTGTATTCATAAAATATTAAGAGGCGAATCTCCTAACATTGAGACCGTCTCACATCAAAATTTTTGATAATATATATATATATATATATATATTGTTTATATGGTAAATTATAATTGAATAAATTTAATGGTTAAACAGTTATATTTTTTTTATAGATCATATTATCATAATGAAATGCCAATTTATTATAAAAAATAATATTTGTCATATAAGTATGCATTTTTTTTATTATGTATAATGCAATGATTAGTGCTCTCATAATAAAATATCATACTTCATAGTATCATGTATATACAAAATAACTATCTAAAACTTTACTCATTTTTGTAAACATATATGATATATCTATTTAACATCTGCAATTATATTGCAATGTGAACGATATATGATTTATCGATTCAATCTGTCTCAGACAAATAACTTTAATTTAGTGATTGAATTGACTTTGATTGCATCTATATCAACAAATTATTCTTACTACGACTTGGTAAATATTTGGTATATCCATATGGACCATATCTACATAAATTTACGTACCATTAATTTTCTTTTTGTTAGATAAAGGTCAAAAAGAGAAAGGCAAGTCATCTTGATGTGAATAAATTGTGGAGATTGACATAAATGCAGGATTCCATTCTAATATTATAGTGATCTTCGTCATTACTACGGATTAATCCCATTGTGCAAATGCCAAGACAAAGACTAAACCAAAATTATAATCTCATTTCCCAATAGCATAAAATAATAATCTCTGCAGTGATTCTCCTTTTTAATAATTGGGATGCGACAAACCCTATTCCACCTCCACCCCTAGGGCAAAGGTGAAACCCCAAAATATCCCTGGTGAACCTATTGATCAATGCAATTCTAATGCACTTACCAAAACTATTAAGGTTATATGTATAAAAAGTAGCCTGCGATACACGAGTTGATAATATTAAATAATATTTATAAATTAAAAATAGAGTTAATATTAATATAATTTATCTATATTAATTTATTAAAAATACAACATGAAAGTTAGATTGTCGCAAAAATGCATAAAATATGTTTCCTAAAAAAATTCAATATTTTTTAACTAATTAATTTTTTTTAACTCAAATCTAACTCAACTTTAACCAAACTCACTATTCTTAATATTATCAATATAATTAAATAATTATCAATAAATCATTGTTACACATTATATCAACTTTAGTTTACTATTCATCTACGCACATAATTTTAACTAACCACCACTTCACATCATATTTTCTATTTTTATATTAAATCAACTTTAATTATTTATTTTAGATATTATTTTAAAATAAACTCAAAATCCCATTAACAACTAACTATACCACATTTTTTAAAATTAATCAAAACTAAAATAAAAAATCCAATCTCTCGGTCTAGGGGACCAGGGGTCCAAAATTAGTTTAGCGTGAATGTGGATAATTAAAAAAACAAAAAAAAAAACGGTTAGGGGTATTACTGTCATTACAGGCTAGCCTTCTTGCAGGGGCACCTAAAGCAAGTGTTCTAAAAAGCATGGTCAAAAAATGGTCACACTGCCAAAAAACACACGCATACACAGACAAACACACTCATAGAGAGCATGGAAAACAACAACGTATGATTTAAAGGCACTTGTGTTTCTTTCTTTTATTTTTCTCCCTTTTTTAATTTGCAGACATTAACAGATGCTGGGCAGCTCCATGTCTGTCCACTCTCCAGTGCTCATGTGATTTAGAGTAAGAAAATAGAGAGAGAAACCAAAAAGAAAGAAAAAGGAATTAATTTAGGCATGCAAGTTCACTTTTTGCACACATTATTGAACTTTACTGTTTGTGGGCTAATTTTCGTTGTATTTTTCTTGCGTTAATCTACTCTAAACGACTTTTCTTGACAATTTTTCAAGAAAAAAGGATATCTATAATTTGACTACTGCGTAGCTTTTTTTTTCACATTTTATTTTTTTTCCTAAGCTTATCTAAAAGTGAGAAGGAAATTTTGCCAAACAAGCCTTTGAGCACAAGAGAAGGAGCAAATGATTACTTGTGCTCACAACTCGTTGGGTTTTTCTTTGGCTTCACTCTTCTGAGATCTGAAGTGGGGTATGGCTGTTTTCCATGGAAATTGTTCTTTCATTGTGAAAATCTCGTTTTTAATTATTCTTGCATCATATGCTCTGAATCTATTATTGTCTCTTTGTTTTTTCTCTGTGTATTTTCTGCGTTGTTCATTGAGATCTGATTTTCTGCTTTCCATTGTAACTTGTTTGTTCCAGAAAGTACATTGGATCATTTGTATTGCGGGTTTTTGTATATTTGGCTAAATTTTTAAAGCGGAACATACTAGTGAGTATCATTGTAATTCTTGGCATTAGGTAAGGCACTTGTGGAGTTGTGAAAATGAATTGTGTTCTGTATCCCACCAGTTCCTCAAAATTTGATGCCTTTTAGAAGCATACTTGTTGAAATATGGAGAAAAATTACAAAAATTTTGGATTGCTAGCTGTCCTGTACATAATCCATAAATTTTATGCAGTTCAAATCCAGTAAGCACATCAATGAGGCCTCACTCTAAATCACTTTGTCTCTTTTCTCTCAATTATTTTGTCATTTCCAGGAGGAAAATCTGCCAATGATCTCAGAGTGAGAGAAAAAAAAATAAAAAATGGAACTCGAATTCGACAAGTATTGTGTTGTGGATGGAAGCCCCACGACTGTTCTCCCCGCCCCACGTCATCATTATAAAGCCATCTATCAAAAATCAGACAAGAAAGTCAAATGCCTGAACGAGAAATTCACCGAGATCAGCTTTAACCGCTACCGTAGTGCATCATGTAGAGATGCTCGACCCACAAGATCCAATCCCACGATGCACAAGCGTGATTCGGTTTATCAAAGCTCGAAAGATATAAATCTTCTTAGCAAGACAGATTGTGCAGTGGGGAGGCAAAAAATCGAGCTTTCACGAGAGAGTGCACCATTATCTTTTCCTTTGGGGATCATTGATTCTTTGTGTAGTTCAGATGAAGATGGCTCGTTGGAGGATCAAAGCAGGTCCTCGGAAGTTTCCACATCAGAGCAAAGTACGTCTTCGTACTCGATGAACTATTCTTTCTTGAGAAAGAACGAAGAAAGGTCTTTCGATAGTAATAGCAGTAAGCTTGCTAAGGATCGTGTGATCAAGTCTGAGTTTTCACTTTCTTCAGTTAAGGACAGTGATAGGCCACGGGAAAGACAAGTGGCCATTAATTTTCAGAAGTCATTATCATCTAAATTATCATTGCCCCATTCGCCTGCTTGGTCGGAGAATGATGGATCGAAAACAAACAGTCCAAATGCCACTTTTAATCTTTCCCCGAAAAAGTTTGACCGGCCTGTTAAATCTAGATCTCACAGAAGAAGCCCGTTGAGTAGAGAAACAAGTGGGGATGTCGGCTCGAGTTTTACCGAACCAATTTGCAAGCGCCCCTCGAAAGATTTTTCAGACAACCTTAACTCGGTCCCGCCATCCTCGCCAGCTCACCTTCACGGCCTTCTAAAATCGGAAGACAAAAACGGGCTTCCATTTTTCCAATTCTCGGTGAATTCGCCAGAGGAAGTTTCTTACATCGTGAAGACGTGGAAAGTCGATGATGCCCTTATGTGGGTCTACACTTTTCACTCACTTAACCATAAAAGAAAGAGCAATGCTAGTGGTGGTGGATGGGGATTTAAGGACATTAACCGAGAATCCACTATGGTTGGCCAGATGGTAGTATCATGCTATCTACGTACAGAGTTAAAGGCTGCCCGAACTTATACCGATTACATGGTGCAAGAGTATGTTTTATACGATGTGGCGCAATCAAGAAGAAGTACTTCATCTCAAGACAATTCCAGCTGTTTTAAAGAACAGATTTTTAAGCACTCTCGGCCTCTAATGGCGGTGGACTTGCATCCGGAGCTGGAAATAGCAGCTGTCATCATGCGGGCCCCATTCGAGAAGAGAGAGAGTCTGAAGTTCAAGAGTGGGGATGGAGAAATGGATCGTCCGCTTCCAAGCTTGCTGGATCTTTGCAGACTTGAGGAGGCAAGGGAGGGTATTTTGGGAAATTCACGTACTGGGGAGATGCATGTGGTGGTCCCGGCTGGGAACCACAGTCTGCCAGGTGGCGAGAACCGTGGGCCCTCGCCTCTGTTGGACAGGTGGCGGATGGGCGGAGGGTGTGACTGTGGTGGGTGGGATATGGCGTGTCCTCTCGACGTTTTTGTTAATCCGAATTTTCGGATTTGTGATGAACAGCCGCTGGTGGACAGTCGGCATCCCGTGGAGCTCTTTGTTCAGGTAAATTTCATTATAATGCAGAACCATTACATATGAACTTCTATTGTAAAAACGTTGCATCGTGATAGAAGTGATACCGAAATTCATTTTGAACTACATTAATCACTTTACATAGTTATATAGGATTATATTCATAAGTGATCATTTCTTTTCCCTTCACTCCTGTAGCTTCAGTTTCTTGGGTGAAGAGTTTTGTAATGAAAATGGAAGCAAATTTTGTGAGTTCCATTGTCTTCCTGGAGATTATATTTGATGAAAGTTTGCCCGGTAAAATTCTTTAGTAATAATTGAATATGACTGGTGACTGATAACCTTATAATGTGTGTATGAGTGTTTTTCGACTTGTGATTGATGGTTAATAGCTTAACTGGGTGAACAACGTGTTTGGTCAAAAGAAAAGAAGCCCATACACACTGACACAATCTGACACTTTTGCACGTTGCCACATTTCGTGCAGGGAAGAAAAAATAACAATATACCGGCATTTACAATGAGGGCAGTCGAGGATGGGAAGTACGCCGTTGATTTTCATGCGCAGCTGTCTTCTCTGCAAGCATTCTCCATATGCGTAGCTATTTTGCATGCTGCAAACACGTCCACCGCAATAGAGCACGAGACGAACAAACGAATGCTGAAAAGCGACTCGCTTAAGGTATTTGCAGAGGAGGAAATCAAGAACTTGATGGATTCAATATCAGAAGAGGAGAATTTTAAGGCCAACAGCAAAAAAGACGAAGTCTTGACATCATTCGTGCTGAACCCACCCTTCTCACCAATCGCTCGAGTATAAATTAGATATAGGTTTTCTTAAGAAAAAAAAGAGACAAGCAAAGGGTACCCTGGATAAAGCTTTGCCTGGTATAGTAAGTTTTTGTTATCTTTTTAGCCAAAATTTCAAATCAAACACTATACTGTTCATATTCTTAGACTGATAGGGATTTTAGAGAGGGATATAGAAGCGCCAGTGGTGATGTAGCTGTTGTTATAGCATTTTTTATCATTTTTTTTTGGGTCCTTGTTATGTAATTTAAGGTGGCTGAGAATGTCTTTTTTTTTTTTATTTTTTTTTTCCCTGGAATTTCCAATGTTGTCACTGTATCTAATACAATAAATGAAGACAGACAAAACTCAAATTTTGAAGAAAGGGAGTATTTCTGGACTGCAAGCAAAGAATGAGTGCATTATAGATAACAATGGACAAATAATTATAAGGACGAAAAGCAATTTCAGCCCTGTGAAAATCTTGAGATTTGTATCAGGAATTCCAAACTGCTGGATGTGTTGAAGAATTCCAAAACCTACTCAGAAGTCAAAGCAATTTGTGTGAATATTTTCGTAGGGAAAAGGAAATTATTAGGGGGAAAAAAAAGAGAGAAAAAAAAAAAGAAACGCCCTTTGAAAATCTTTAGATTTGTATCAGGAATTCCAAACAGCTGAATGTGTTGAAGAATTACAAATCTACTCAGAAGTCAAAGCAATTTGTGTGAATATATTCGTAGGGAAAAGGAAATTATTAGGGCGGAAAGAAAAAAGAGAATAAAAAACAGAAACGCCGTTGCCGGGGATCGAACCCGGGTCACCCGCGTGACAGGCGGGAATACTCACCACTATACTACAACGACTCGTTGTTAGATACAGCAATAAAACATAATATGTGCAAACAACAGCCGCCTCTGCCTCACCAGGAAAATTTCGTTATTTCCTCAATCCATTCAAAGACCTCTGAATTTTTTCGAGAACGTTTGTATGTTCCTAAACCCTTCCCCCCAAATCCCGAATAGAAGAGAAAATATATAAACGAAGTCGCAGTATTATGCCCAAACTAGAAAGATAGGTTCCAACTAATACTAGTCATTATTCTCAAGATTTTGAGCTCTGAATTGAATTCAAGTATGTCATCCACTTTTTTTGGGTATTTACTTGAGCTGCTCGAAATCCGAAGGAAAAAGAAAAGGCTACAGTTTGGATGAGTGGTTTCTTGAACGTTTTTGGCTTTCATTGTACAATTGAGATTTTTTGCGGCAATTTGTGAATACTCGACAGTCATGATTCTTGATAGCATGGATTATGGGTTGTAAATCAGTTGCTGGTTTAGCACATTGGACGTTGGTGATAAACTGGTGACTGGTACGAGTATGTTTTATCTTTGCTGGTTTTCTTCTCTCTGCACGTGGCTACCATTTTTAATGTTTTTGTAGCTCATATATCTAACAGTGTGTGATAATGGCAGTTCATTTTGTTTGAAGTTTGGATGAGTCTATTGGGTTCGCAATGGATTGATTTTAGCAGTTCCGATGAAACGAAATTAACAAATTTTAGCTCCTCTGCACATCTCAGCTGGTCTTGTTTTACTCGAAGTCATTATGTCATGTGAATATGTTTTCTAAGCTTTCTTATTCCCATGCTGTAGATTGTTTCAGTCATAGCCCTGGCAAGCCCAAATAATAATCAGAAAGCGAGTTTGTTTGACCAGTGTTTTTTGGCATTTTGAACTGACAAAATTTACCGTATTAGAATTTCTTAAAAGGGAGATGTTTAACGTCGTTGATGTCAACAAACCAAAAAGTTGTTTCAGATTTTGCTTAACTGTCCCTTCCCAATATTGTTTTAAATATCACGGTCCGGTTTGTTTTTGCTAACTTCTGATTGTCAATATGCAGTTGCAACTCAATCCATATACTTTCCTCTAGAATCTGAAAGATGACTGATGGTAGTGTGTTCCAAAGAAATGAGAAGACTTCAGTCAGACATAGAACTAATCAATTCGAACGGCTATTTACCGAGCTTGCCAATTTTGATAACACGGATATCACTCCATCAGGAAATGACAAGTGTGCCCTGAGAAATTCCAATCCCCGATCATCTGAGGTTTTAAGCACAACCGATTTAATTTCGGCTGTAGGATATGCCTGGGGTCGAGCCACAAAGCCTCTTTCTTCACTTGTATCCATTGATAACTCCACATGCAAACCTGAGGTTATTCGAGGAGATGATGGCCAACTTTACTATTCTACTGATGGGGAAACTCTTCTTACATCTAACTCAGCCAATGGCCAACCTTGCTCAAGCAATTTGAACAGTAAAGCTACTTTTTCGAGATTAGTGCAAGAAAATCTTGATAATTTGAGATTAAATCAGAAGATCATATGCCATCAACCTAGCTATGATTTCTTTTCATTCTGGAAGATAGTCCTTGCAAGGCCGTATCATCTTTCAAATACAGAAACACCACTTAACTTAGGAAGTACATATAGATGGATGGCTGAAGTAGCTCACGCTACGCGAAAGAATGATTTTATTAATATTGAGAGCAGAAAAAGGACCCTTAACTCTTACATAGGCGAGCCTTTGACAAACTCAGATAGTGCCAGAGTGCCTACTGATACAACTACTAGTTCAATTGATAGTTTTGAAGGTACAGACTTGAAAGAGTGTACTAATGGATGCTCAGAAAGTACTATGGTGTGTGACCAGAATATTGACAAGACTGACTGTCAGATAATTGCGTTGAGGTGTGATGTGGTCTCCCAAAATACCAATTTAGAATCAGATAGTCGTGAGTGTGAAAATGACATCAGCAGAAGTAGGGAAGGTCTGCATGAACACCAAAATGATCAAGAAGTTGCTACATTAGTTGAAGCTGACTCGCCTGAGGTTGAAATAAGTTTGTCGGCCAAGCAAACATCACCATGTGGGCTTGCAAAGCAAGAGCATGCTTTTGCAGGGGCAATGGCTGGCATATTTGTAAGCCTTTGTCTTCATCCAATGGACACAATTAAGACAGTTGTTCAATCTTGCCGTGCAGATCCAAAAAACCTTCACGACATAGGCAGATCCATTGTTGCTGAGAGAGGTACAGCATTTAGTAAAAAGTTAGGTTGTTTTCCGAAAATTATAATTTTCAGTTTGTTGGTCCTGAGGAAGTTGAGTAGTGTATCTCCTTGACTCTTTTATTTTTGTAAGGACTGGAATAATCAATTTGGAATGTTTCTCAGGTATCACGGGACTTTATCGTGGCATATCAAGCAATATTTTGACATCAGCTCCAATTTCTGCAGTCTACACATTCACGTATGAATCTGTTAAGAAAAGTTTGCTTCCTCTTGTTCCCAAGGTAAAACATCATTTCAAGTTTGAGAATAGAAATAGTTTAACTGAATCAGGTCTTTCGGGAATCATGCTAAAGCAATGTACTAATTTGATTAAAATTATGACTTTCCTTCCACAGGAATATCAATCTTTGGCTCACTGCATGGCAGGGGGTTGTGCAAGCATTGCTACTTCATTTATTTTTACTCCAAGCGAGCGCATAAAACAGCAGATGCAGATTGGCTCTCACTACCGGAACTGCTGGTAAGCGGTATATCTTTTGGACGTATGTCTTTTCCGGTATATAGTCAACATTGTCATTGTGAAGGAATCAAACAATTTGTCGATAACTGTATATGAAGGTTGTACTAACACTACTAAAGCAATTATTAGCAAGTACATGTTCAAATGATGTAAGTGGTCTGTTAGGAGAGGAATCGACTTAAACACTATGGTGTTTGCATAATGATGTTCATTCATTCTTTATATTTCCTTTTTGTTTCTACATTTTTTTTAAATCTTTACAACATCTGTTTCCCTATGAAGTTTTACTTGATTTGATGCAACTCTTTCAAAAATTTAACATTAAATTTGAACTTGTATGTCAAATTTATCAGATCTTTTGCACCTTTGGATTGATGTTATTCTTGTTTAACTATATTCGTACACAGGAATGCCTTCATACAGGTTGTTCAAAGAGGTGGCGTGCTCTCACTATATAATGGATGGGGAGCAGTACTCTGCAGAAATGTTCCGCATTCTGTCATCAAGGTTATGTTATGTGAAAAACAGCTTTGTCCCACAGGACAGTTAAATGATTTTTCACTGGGAACTGATTAGAGAGATGACAGGCTTTTCATTTATAATATTTTTTGTTCCTCATTCTCTTACGTTATATCTGATCAATTTATTTTAATATTTTAATCATATACAAATTTATTACCCACCATCAGCGTCTTTTGAGCTCATTTATTTATTTTTTTTCTTTTTCAGTTCTACACTTATGAAAGCCTGAAGCAAGTTGTATTGCCAGGAACTAAATCTAATGCTCAAGCTAATGTATCTACGACGGTCAGTGGCATGAGCCTTTGGAAAGCTACCTGCTAACTTCTGATTGTCATACGGTTCTCTCATTTCGTTTTTTTTTTCAGTTAGTTTGTGGAGGATTAGCTGGATCTATGGCCTCGTTATTCACAACTCCATTTGATGTTGTCAAGACAAGACTGCAAACTCAGGTCAGTTTTGCATTTTGCTTTTTATTTAGATTTCATGTACAAGTACCTATCTGATCTGTTGAGATACATCCCTCTGAATGCTTTGTTCTTTCCAGCTTATCATGTCCTTAGTGTTTGTGTGAGGAATTCATTTTTTGCAAAAAGATCTAAGCTAAATTGTGATTACAGATTCCTGGATCAGTGACCCCGTATGGTGGAGTATTCAACACTCTCACAAAAATAGGGAAGCAAGAAGGTGTAAAAGGTCTCTACAGGTAAGAAATCACCAGACACAAGGATTCATTCTTTAATTTAGCATCATATAAAAAGTATGTTAAGAAAGTATTCCTAGTCAAGCCTTAGGTAGGCATCTTTTGAATAATTGTCTGTTGCAAAACTTTCGATAACCAATAAGTTCACTAACAGAAATGGATTAAATAAGCACATCGATTGTGATAGTATTTTGCTTTGACCCATCACGTTTGTAAGATAACGAGTTGTTGCTTCCATTGATTAATGGCCTCACATTGACATTGTCAATTTTTACCATCAGGGGGTTGACTCCAAGACTAGTCATGTATATGATTCAGGGAGCCCTATTCTTTGCTTCCTATGAATCTTTCAAGAGATTGTTATCATTGGATGTCTCGCAACCAACATTGCAGCACAAGACCAAGTCAGATGATCCCGTGATGTTACCACCAACCATTTCAGTCACTGCTTAGTTTTGGTTGTTTGGAGAGAAGTTGTAGCGCAAATTAGAGAACTTTGGACAAAGAAAGAAGCTGGAGGGTTTTAATTTTTATTTATTTTACTGTAAAGGAATTTTTCATCGCGCGTGCGTATTCAGTGAAGCAAGTGACTATGATGTTGCATGGAGATTGCAGTGAAGCAAGTGACTATGCTTTGTGTGAAATTGTGAAGAAAAGTGTTGCATAGTTCTTGTGAGTTGTGACTGTAATATCATCGAGTTGTCTCCATGAATCTAGGAAGTTTTGCTCGCCATGTATTATTTGGTTTGCATACCGGAACTGATAATATTTGAGATTATGTAGGATTTTACATGACCTTTTTTGGAACTCTCTTTAGCCCCCTGTCTCTTATCCCAAGGAGCAGGTTTAAAATAGCTCGATTGAAGTCCGAGGCACGACTGTGGGGGTGTATTGTATTTATATATATAACCAGAAGAAACAAAGAAATAGATGTATAGAAAGAACAAAGGATTCTGCAGCTTGTCAAGCTTCTATCCGTTTATTATGTTTCACTTAATAGTTAATAGTATATCTCCCTCAAACTTAGGCCATATCAAAACTTGGCAAAAGGGTAGGTGCGAAGAGCAAAACTCGATGTATGACAAACATAACTTCTAGCATATCAAAACCCACACACCTACTAAAGGGCTTCTTAACAAAACAAACGCATTGCACTTAGAACATTAGAGCACAGTAGCAGGGGAAACTCAAATATTGCAGGCTTAGTACATTTTTGTGGCTACGAGTAAATAGCACATCACTTGTATGAACACCATCTGCATATCTTTCAATATTTCATTCATAGGCTGGGGGTATATTCCACCAAAGTCTAATCTAAAATTTTTACAACACGAAATAAGGATTTTCTAGCAAACCCCTAATTCTTACTAGAACGAATTCTAATACCTAGAAGGGCAAGCCAGCGCATCGTGCCCGTTGATGATCTAATTTACGAACAACGTCCTTCAAAATGTCTGTGCCTGTTTAAATTACTGCCACCTTTTGGACGGTTTAATTGCAGAATAACTGCTGCTAGCTGTGGCCTTTTTCGAATCTGATGATGCACATAAGCAAGCAGCAAGTAAGCATCTAAACCAATTTTTTTTTTTTTGACAAAAAATGAGAGAAAGAGATGAAAGAAATAGTTTCTCATACTTGGAATTTTAGAGGTGCTTTTGCTCATAGACGGCCGAGAAGATGACGCTTGACCCTGCTTTGGCGGCCTTGGAATTTTAGCTGGCACATCAGGCCTGCATTCAGCCAAGCAAAAAGGCAAGAAAACCTCAGGTTCCCATATTAACCAACTGAAGAATTTAAGTATTGCATGCATGACATGCTTCGCAAACTGAAAATATTAACCTCACAATGCAAGTTATAATTTCTAGCCAAGCACATCACGCAATAGAATGTCTTGGAATAACAAAATATCTTTCGGGAGAAATATTATACAAGATAACATTAAGACTAAAAATGTTCGATAGCAGTTTGCTTTTTTTAATATTTTTTATTTCATTTTTTTTTTTAATTCAAAACCCACTTTTCAATTACGTGTT